AACAGTCAATCAAACCCATTGCCGTTGAGTTGATTGCTACTCACAGTGACCCTATAGGACAGAGTAAAACTGCCCCATAGGGCTTCCAAGGAGCACCTGGTGGATTTGAACTGCCTACCTTTTGGTTAGAAGCCATAGCACCTAACTACTACACCACCAGGGTTTCCAAAACAGTCAATAGAGGAACTAAAAATCAACTATTAAAAGGTATATAATTAACCTAAAATAAGGCAGGATAAGAAGAACAGAAGAACAAAAAAGAGATGAGACAACTAGAAAACAAGTAGCAAGATGGTATTGGCAAGTGGACTAAACACTTCGGTTAAAATGCATAGATTGTCAGACTAGTTAAGAAAGCAAGACCCGAGAATACTACTCAGCAATGAAAAGGAAAGAACTATTGATACACAAAACAATGTAGATGAATTCTAAGGGAATTATGCTGAATGTAAAAAGTGATCTCAAAGGTTACATGCTGTATGATTCCATTTATATCATTATCTTGAAATAAGAGTTATAAAGCTGGAGATGAGATTAGTGGTTGCCAGGGGTTAGGGGTTAGGGAGGAGAAGGAGGTGTAGCTAGAAAGGAGCCCTGTAGTGATGGTACAGTTCTGTATCTTGATTGTGTTAGTAGTTACCCAAAGTTACAGATGTGATAAAATCACATACAACTACACACACACACAAATAAGTGTATGTAAAACTGGAGATATTTAAAAAGCTCTGGGGATTGTATCCATGTCAATTTTCTAATATCGATATCATGCTATAGTTATATAAGTTGTTAACACTGAGGCAGGCTGGGTAAATGATGCATAGGACCTCCCTGTATATTTCTGTGCAACTTCCTGCAAATTTATAATTGTTCTAAAATAAAAAGCTGAAAAAAAAAAAAAAAGCAAGCTCCAGCTACATGCTGCCTGCAAGGAAGGAATGACTTCAACTACAATGTTACAAATAGATTGAAAATAAAAGAATGGGAAAGATATACTATCAAAAAATAATCGTAAGAAGAACTTCCAGAAAAGAATATTACCAGTGAAGAAGAGTGACATTTCATAATGATAAAAGGATCCATTCATCAAGAAGACATACAATCCTGCATGTATACGCAGCTAATACCAGAGCTTCAAAACATAAGAAGCAAAAACTGACAGAACCAAAGAGAGAAATAGACAAACCACAATCATAGTTGGAGATTTTCATACACTTCTCCATGAAATTAATAGAACAACTGGACAAAAAATTATAAAAAGGATATAGAAAATTTTAGTAACACTATCGACCATATTTATCCAATTGATATTTAAAGAATAGTATACCCTTCTAAGGAAGCCCTGGTGGTACAGTGGTTAAGCACTTGGCTGCTAACCAAAAGGTCAGCGGTTTGAACCTGTCAGCCACTCTGTGGGAGAAGATGTGTCCGTCTGCTTGCATAAAGATTACAGCCTTGGAAACCTTATGGTACAATTCTACTCTGCCCTATAGGGTCGATATGAGTCTGACTAGACTGGATGGTGGTGGGTTTAGTTTTCTTTCTTTACTTTGGTTATACCCTTCTATTTAACATTATACTGGAGGGCCTAGCCAGCGCACAAGGGCAAGACAAGGAAATAAAATGTGTAAGACTGGAAAGAAAGAAGTAAAACTGTCTTTATGCACAGACAACATGATCTTCTTCACAGAAAATCTGAAAGAATATATTAAAAACTCTGTAAAAGTAAGTGAGATAGCTAACTGGGTCATAGGATCCAAGGCCAATATATACAAATCAATTGTATTTTTGTATGCAAGCAACAAAAAATTGGAAATTAAAATTTAAAACACTGTTTACATTAGCATCAAAAGATATGATATACCTAGGGGGTGAATTTAACCAAATAAGTGCAAAATATTGAAAACTACAAAACATTACTTATAGAAATTAAAGAAGAACTAGTGGTTTCCCTTCCCCACGCCTCCTCTCATAACCATCAAAGATTGTTTCTTTCTGTGTGGAAACATTTTCATGCGTGTTTTTAAAATATTTTTATTGTACTTTTGATGAAGGTTTATAGAACAAACTAGCTTCTCATTAAACAATTAGTACACATATTGTTTTGACACTGGTTACCAACCCCATGACATGTCAACATTCTACCTTCTTGACCTTGGTTCCCTATTACTAGCTTTTCTGTCCCCTCTTGCCTTTTAGTCCTTGCCCCTTTAGTGTTGTTTTGGTTTATGGGCCTGTCTAATCTTTGGCTGAAGGGTGAACCTCAGGAGTTACTGAGCTAAAAGGGTGTCCAGGGGCCATACTCTCGGGGTTTCTCCGATCTCTGTCAGGCCAGTAAATCTGGCCTTTTTATGTGAGTTAGAATTTTGTTCTACATTTTTCTTCAGCTCTGTCCAGGACCCTCTATTGTGATCCCTGTTGGAGCAGTTGGTGGTGGTAGCCAGGCACCATCTAGTTGTGCTGGACTCAGTCTGGTGGAGACTGTGGTAGTTGTGCTCCACTATTCCTTTGGACTAATCTTTCCCTTGTGTCTTTGGTTTTCTTCATTCTCACGTGTTCTTATAACAGTGGTTCTCATACAGTATAATTCATCATTGTTCTTTATTGTTGTGTAGTATTCCACTGTGCGTATGTACCATAGTTTATTTCCCTTTTAACTTAGTATTAAAGTCACTCTTGAAATTCAGCCTTCAACCAAAGATTAGACAGGTCTATAGGACCAACAATAACACACATGAGGGACGTGCTTAATAGTTCAATCATGTACACAAGACTAATGGGCACACCAGCCCGAAAGCAAAGATGAGAAGGCAAGAAGGGACAGGAAAACTGGTCGAATGGAAACAGGGAAACTGGAGTGGAGAAGAGTAGAGTGTTGACACATTGCAGGGTTGGCAACCAATGACACAAAACAATTTGTGTATTAACTGTTTAACGAGAAACTAATTTGCTACGTAAACTTTCACTTAAATCACAATAAATAAATAAAAAGAAAAAAATAAAAAGAGAATATTATGAACAACTTTAAGCCAATAAATTCAAAAACTTGGATGAAATAGACAAATTCTTTGAAAAATACAAATTACCAAAACTGACACAAGAAGAAATAAAAAATATGAATATTCTCATATAGACTAATGAAATCGAGTTCATATTTGGAAACTTTCTCACAAAGAAAATTCCAAGGCTAGATGATTTCACTGGTGAGTGCTATCAAACATGAACAAAAAAAGAAAAAATCCATATTATATAAATCCTTTAGAAAATTGAGGAGGGAGCACTTCTCAGCTAGTTTTATAAGGCCAATATAACCCTGATACCAAACCAGACAAATTCATTACAAGAAAAGAAAACTATAGCACAATACCCCTCGTTAGCATACATGCAATCTGTATTACTTAGGAAATTAAATCCAGAAATATATAAAAAATATGTCCAGATGAAGTGGGCTTTATCCCAGGAATGCAGGGGTGGCTTACCACTTGAAACGATGTAATTTATCATTTTAACTGATAAAGGAGAAAAAAATCATAAGATCATCCAAACAGATGCAGGTAAAGCATTTGACATAATTCAGTATGCATTTATGATAAAAAGAAAAAAAAAATTCTCAGCACACAAGAAACAGAAGGGAACTTCCTCAACCTGATAAAGAATATCCATGAAAAACCTATAGCTAACATTATACTTAATGGGAACAAGCAAAGATGTCTGCTCTCACTGCTTTTATTCTTGGGCAGTGCAGTAAGATAAGGAAAACAAAAAGAATAAAGGGTCTACAGATAGAAAGAAGTAAAACTCTTTAGTTGCAAATGACTTGGTTACATACGTATAAAATATTAATCTCCATTAAAAAAAAAACCCTACTATAATTAGTAAATGAATTTAGCAAGGTCACAGGATACAAGATCAATGTACAAAAATCAATCATATTTCTATATTCTAGCAACAAGTAATTAGAAAAATTTAAATAGTATTTATAATAGCATCAGAATTACTTTGGGATAAGTTTTATAAAATATGTGTAAAACTTCTACACTGAAAACCACAAAACGCTGCTGAAGGCCCAAATAAATGGAGAGATATACCATGTTAAAGAATTAGAAAACTCAATATTGTTGTCAGTTCTCCACCCAATTGATCTCTAGATTCCATTCCATTCCAAACAAACTCCCAGTGGGTTGTTTTAAAAATTGGAACTGACAAACTGATTCTAAAATTTATACAGAAAAGCCAAGAACCTGAAAAAGCCAAACAACCTAAAAAAAGGAACAAGAAAGTTGGGAGGACTTTACACTACCTTATTCCCAGAGAAATAGACCCACATGTATATAGGCAATTTAATTTTCTACCAAGATACCAAAGCAATTCAATGAGGAAAGGAAAGGCTTTTCAAAAAACAATGCTGAAATAGCTGTTACCTAATGCAAAAACAAACAAAAAACCTTGGCTCTTACCTCACACCATCACAAAAATTAATTCTTAATAGATCATAGAGTTACATCTAAGAGCTACAAACTATAAAGCTTCTAGCAGAAAACACAGAAGAATATCTTTGTGACCTTGGAGTAGTAAAAATTTCTTAGACAGGACCCAGAAAGCACTAACCCCAGATAAAGAGTTGATAAAAGTGTACTTTCTCATACAGCGCGTTAAGAAAGTGAATAGGTAAGCCAGATTGGAATAAACATTCACAACTGGTGATGGTTTGACCAGTTGTTTGGTCAAACACTAAGTCTAGACACTGTTATGAAATATTACAAAAATAACAACTAAACCCATTGTTGACGAGTCGATTCCTACTCATGGCGACCCCATGTGTGACAGAGTAGAATTGCCCCATAGCCAGGCCTTTCTTCTGTGGCATCACTGGGCAGGTTTCAGCCGCCAACTTATTGGTTAGTTGCCAAGCACAAACTGTGCCACCCAGGGACCTATAACCTCTCCCAGGTCCTTGCATAAACAACAGGTAGTTTTATAGGAAAGTGTGAGATGGTTCTTACCACATCCAATACTGCATGGACAAATAGATCAAGGTATACAGTAGTGGCCTCACTCTTGTTGTGAACTGGTCTCACTTCCTTGTGGTACTTCTGTAATAGCTTCTTGGTGAGATGATGTAGAGCGGAACTCCTGGGATGAGATGTATCTGTGACTTGGATTCCTGGAAAAGAAACTTAACACTGTGAGGATAAAAATGAGAGGAATCGAATGTCTTTAGGAAGTTTCAGACGATTCAGGACTCATTGGCTCTTAGTGGAATAAGATTTTCAGCTCTTCCCAATCTGCGTAAGTTCATGGTCAGCTAGCGGAGTTTTTTAACAGATACCTCTTTAATGTGAGCTAATGGCCTAAGTGCCCAGTAGAGATATCTCATTGTAAAGATAAATCAATCAAGCCCATTTCCAAGGATGTAAACTATACCTGTAATTCCATTTTTACAGCAATCATGCATCTTGAAGAGACAACCTTTTATGTATTCCTGTATCACCACCTCCTGGCACATAGAAGAAACCCACCTACACACTCAGCCAAAAGTTAACTTCACCCTTGATTGTCCACTTGTAATTAAAAAGTAAATAGAAAGAAAGAAAAAAACGTGGACAAATGAGTGAACTCAAAGACTGTGTGGATTTTTAAATAGTGAGATGAATGAGAATCCAGTTCACACATTTCTCCTCAAAAAAATCTTTTTTCTCACGCAATCTGTCTTTCACTAAAATGCACTTGTCAGAAAATGAGATCTTTGCTTTGGGAAAATTCTCTCTAGTTGCAGGGAACCACCATTTCTTATGGTCCAGGAATCTTGATCTGCAGAAGAGCAGTGATTGGTGTCAAGGCAGGGTAGGCCAGGGGAAAGGAAGCAAGAGAAACGAGCACCAACAATTGGAAGTGACAAATTTGTGAGGGCTTTCTCTGAATTGCAAAAAGATATTTTGTTCACAAGCTTTGCCAGCCCTTAGGGAACTCAAAGCTTCGCTAAGTCGTTGGACTGAAGCAAATTGCACACCTCCTGCCACAGTGCATGAGTGAAATCTGATCTGTAGAGTCCTGTGCGTGAATTCGCCGGGGCTCTCAGTGGTTTTGATGGTTATTTTGATGAGCTGCTGAAGGCATGAGGGATCCAGCAGGAAACTGTAAATGAGATGTCTGCTCTCTGTGTGACAATCCTGTTTATACCCATTTCTTTATGAATGATGTCATGTCACTTGCCGCCACAGGCAGCAATTTCTATGATTTATCAATGTCAGTGTGACCGAAATGTTAACAACCATGCTGGAGGTATAATTTCAGACTCATTGTGGGCAGTGGAATATTATCGTCAGTACTGGGAATCTAATGAGCATCTTAACTAACTATTCACCCACGAAGATACCTAAGTGGCATCAGCTACTCAGGTCTGTAGGGCTTGGGTGGGCGGCTTGCACCAGGCATCATTTTTAGGGTTTTTTCTTTTCTTTTCTTTTTTTACTGTGATTGTCAAAAGTGTGCTATGACTCTCTCTACCTGAGACCCTTTCCTGCTGGCATAGCCCAGGGGAGGGGAGTCAGGAGAACACAGTGAAGCTGGTGCACTGCTTTTTCTGCTAACTTCGCTTTGGGCAACTTCACGTCTACCTCGCTTGGAAGCCCCCAATTCAAGTCTCAGTTGGGGAAACACTGAAATATGCATGTTTCAATACAGGAAACTAACTACCTGAGACAGAATTAAAACATAATTCTGAGAAATGAATGTGTGTTCTCTGCACCCTCTGCCTATAAAAGCTCAAATTCCCCGTTATCCTTTCTAGGAAACAATCCCCCAGTTCCTTGTGTATAAACACATATTTCCTAGAACGTTTTGATGTCTTTGTCTGCGTCAAAGTCTTTGAGTAAAAAAGAGAAAGTTCTAGAAGCTACAACTAGGAACAAAAGAAAAACCAGCAATGGTAGAAGAAAAATAATAAGCAAATGGAATGTGTTTAAAGAAACCAAAAAGGGAAAGAGTTCTTTGTCTAAAATGGGAAGAAATAATAAATTACATTTTCTACTACGAATGCAAATCTGCCTGAGGAGAAAGATCAATTACAGAAGAGAGATTAAGGATTTAAGTGACCATAAATTAACAGTAAATTATGCCCCTTGAAAGCTAATGTGACATTCACACAAGCACTAAATGACTCACAGTTCAGTGATGTTTCAGCAGACATTGATGGGAGCTCTCAACAAACCCAGAAACGATTCCTCACTAACATTGCCTCCTTGAATGCTAATAATCAGCTGCAAATAATTCACTTGTAAGATTTCCAGAAAGGAGAAATGTGTTAGTAACTGAGCTATGAAGCACTTTTAGGTGAAAATAGATATTTAAAAAAAAGATAAGAATACAATAGAATTATTACTTTGTTTTCCCTGTTTTAATGAATTGCTCTCTCACGAGTCTGTCTGAAAGTGTTCAGGGCACTTTGATAAAAAGCTATTCTTTCTTTGGTGAGTATGCTATCTTCAAGATTCTAAGAGAACAATACATACACTGGACTCCCTGGATGGCAAAAATGGGTAAGCGTTGGACTACTGACAGAAAGGTTGGTGATTTAGACCCACCCAGAGGCACCTTGGAAGAAAGGCCTGGAGGTCTGCTTCCAAAAGGTCATAGCCTTGAAAACTCTAAGGAGCACAGTTCTATTCTGTACACTTGGGGTTGCCATGAATCGGAATCAACTTGACAGCAACCACCACCACCAACAACATACAGATATCTGAGAGATTATAGGAAATAGAGGTTTCGGTGTGTGGTAACAACACTTAATACTAAATGAATACCTACTGTATGCCAGGAAGTATGCTAAGCCTTTTACATTAATTATCTCATTTAACTTTCACACCAATCTTACGAGACAGGTTCTCTACAACCCTACAAGGAGAGCACGATTACTACAGATGAGGAACTGTAGACTTGGGTTAGTACTTACCACAGTCACACAGTTGGTAAGTGATGGGGCTGGAATTGAAACACAACCGGTCTGGATCCGAAGCCCATGCTCTTAAATATGACACTACATTGACCTGGCTCCCTGAGAATATTATGAACAGCCATGGGTCACCCTTCAAAAAGAAGACTGACATGTTGCATGGAGTACTGTCATGGGTTGCATTGTGTCCCCCAAAAATATGTATCAGTTTGGCTAGGCCATGATTCCCAGTACTG